TTAAAAATTGTTTTAAAAAATAGGATAAAAAATACGTGACTACGGCCTTTTTGACATGTTGCTGTATTTGATTTTTCTATTTCATTGTTTTCTATTGGTTAAATCCTATCATTTAAGATACTGTACGTCACGATTGGACTTATAGAAACGAAGATATATAACTAAGGCCTTTTTGACATGCTGCTTTTCTGTCTTATTGTATTTTATTGGTTAAATCCTATCATTTGAGGTACTGTACATCACGACTGGACCAATTGGAGGAAAAATATGCAATATATACCCCGTTATATATACCCAATATGTAACCCGTTATTTTTAATCAAACAAGATGCTAGAATGATTTATGGATGAAAAAAATATATATAAATTCTTAAATTTACTATTTCGTTGTGGGTAATATTATATTCAACAGCGATGCCAAATTTCTGATGCCAAAATGATTGATAATGAAAGTGCGATATACATTTTCATGTATATAATGGCAGCGAGTAAACGGTAAAACCGTGAACTAAATATATATAATATTTTCACTGTGCCATCATTTTAGACTCAAACATTTCCTGGAATAAACTTATATAACTCAGTAAGGGATAAAAAGAGAAAGCGGACATCTCTAATCATTGAGATGGTTAAAATTCTTGTAACAAGTACAGGAAAAAAGTTATTAAGGTCTTGTAAAGTAGCGTCGATATACAGATGCTACTTTGCAAGACGATGCTAAATTGATGGTAAAATCATAATGTATCGATGCCAAAATGATAGTAGGAAGTATATATATATATATATATATATATATATATATATATATATATATATATATATATATATGCTGTCAAATGCTGGTTTTTTTGAAAACCATTGTTTTGGCGACGTTTCGGCAAGGTCTCACTTGCCATTCTCAAGCACATATAACTCCCGCGGAAACCTCAAAACAAACATACATATATATATATATATATATATATATATATATATATATATATATATATATATATATATATATATATAAAAAGAAAAAAGAAGTACTTGTGACTCGTTTGGAAAAAATATAACACTGTTCTTGATGGGTTGGAGTCAATAAAAGGGGCTATTTGTTGACTATTTTTTACTCGAGCTTTCAATTGTGATTACAATTTTTATCAAGAGCTTATAAAAAATACAAAATGTCTTACAAAGTTGAACTAGAAATAAAAAATAATTTTTGTTAACTCACCAAATAAAATTAGTTTTTTTATATAAAACTACTGCTTACATAATAAATACAAAAAATATTAATAAAAATATGTCTTATTCTAATAAATGTTTCTCTGAAAAATTTAGATCAAGTTTCTTAAGAAAAAAATTGAATTTATAAACAAAAATAGAATCAGCCTAAATGTCATAAATACTAACTTAAAAATTTTTATTTTTGACATATTGTCAAAAATAAAATTTTGTTTAAAAAATTCTTCTTTGTTTAGTAACAAAAAAGAAGAAGATTTATTCACCATTGATAGATGCCCGAAAAAATGTAACAAAAAACATAAACATAAAACAGTGTTATATATATATATATATATATATATATATATATATATATATATATATATTTCTTCTTTAAATATAAACTTTTTTACCTGTTTTTGTTGGTCTGATGTAAATTAAACTATTTAAAGCTTGCTTAAACATTTCGGCAAATTTGCCATTTTCAATAAGCACTTTATTAAACTTTAAACATTACATTTTACAATTAAATTTCATGTTTACACTTTTTTAAAAAGTTTCAAAATGGATTAAAAATTCAATTTAAAAACTTAATTTAATAAATTATGATACATATTGAGAAGATCTTGGATGTCAGTCTTATTATTGATGGAATTTGGATCTTTTGTATGTAAATCTGTGCATTATGCATATTTTGTTGTAATTTTGTTCTTTTTCCAAAATCTGTACAAATTCAAAATCAAAAGAATGGCTAACTTCTAGAGAATGTTTTGCTAGCACTGTTATGTTTAATGCCTTGGTTTATACACTATGTTTGTGTGCAAGAATTCTTCTATGTAGGTATTTGTGTGTTTGGTTTGTACACTATATTTGTGTGCAACAATTGTTCTATGTAAGTATTTGTGTGTTTGTCCAATATATGTTGAATTGCAGTATTTACAATTTATTTTATAAAATATTGTAATTATAATTAATGTATAATTATAATTTACTATAAAAGGACTGCAATTCAACATATATTGGACAAACACTCCAATACCTACATATAAGAATTGTTGCACACAAACATAGTGTACAAACCAAGGCATTAAACACAACAGCCCTAGCCATCCTTTTGATTTTGAAAACGTACACATTTAGGAAAAAGAACAAAATTACAACAAAATATGCACATTGGAGATGATTCATATAAAAAAGATCCAAATTGCATCAATAATAAGACTGACATCAAAGATCTTTCCAATTTAAAAAATTGAATTGTTTTTTAAATACACTATGGCAGATCTTTAAGATACTACCCTAAAAAACTCCTATTTTGAGATATCTGCCAGATGTCGTATGTCAATGTCAGATACTAATTTTTAATCCATGTTACACTTTTTAAAAAAGTGTAAACATGAAATTTAATTGTAAAATGTAATGTTTAAAGTTTAATTAAGTGCTTATTGAAAATGGCAAATTTGCCGAAACGTTTAAGCAAAATTTAAATAGTTTTATTTACATAAATTAAAAAAATATATATTGCAAATCATCCATGTTTCACATACCATCATAAAATGCCAAAAATACGAAATATAAACTTAAATTAAATATGGCCACCACGTTGGTTTATCCCAGCTTCTACATCTACTGTTCATGCTCCGAATCAAATGGTTAATGTCTGCTTGATGTAGTTGTGTCCATTGTTCTCTCAGAAGCTCTTTTAATTGAAACTCATTGTAGATATTGCCCATATGTGGAGTAATTCTTCGTTGGAGCATGTCCCATACATGTTCAATGGGATTCAAATCCGGTAATTGTGCTGGCTATGGCAATACATCAATACCCTCGTTATCCAACCAGTTTGTTGTAATATGCGTAACATGTGGTCGAGCGTTATCATGCATAAAGTAAAAATTTTCTCCAACAGCAGCAGCAAACGGGCGCACAAAGGTTCAAGAATAGTGTCCAAATATTTCTGACTTGTGAGAAAGCCACGTGGAAAAATAGGTCAGTTTTTCCGTTAATCATGATTCCGCCCATACCATTAATGTACCACCTCTGTTTGCATACACTTCTTGAAGATGTCGTAATCGTTCTCCATTTCCGGGTCATCTCCAAACTCTTGTCAGACGAGAATCTGTAAAACATTCGTCCCTTATAAAAAACATTCTAAAACACGTATTGCTCTCAGTTTTACAATTTTTTTTATAAGAAGTGAGTGTCTGTAACAACAATTATAGCACAAGCAAATTTATATGGTGATAAAAGTTCTGTCATTGGTATTGTCAAATTATTAAAATATCCTTAGACTTTTGCGTTGTGTGTAGTTACCACTACCTAATCCAAATTTTAAGAAAATTATCAATAAATGATGAAAAAGACTATTGATTGTTACCTATATAGGGGATAGGATAATTTAGATATAATTAATTCATAAATTTATTAGCACAATTTTGATTTATGTGGATATGGCCGTATAGTTATAATTAATTTATAAATTTGTTAGCAAAATTTTGAATTATCTTAATATGACTGTGTATTAAATATTAAGACAACAGTAACTATTAGATAAAAAGTTATTGTCCTTAGCTAAAATTATGTTGTAATGTATCCCTTGTGTAAGTTTTCTTGGGTTAAGTACTGCCTATGCGTAGCTTCCAGAAAAAAAAAAAGAATTCAAAGAACTGGTCACTCCAAGTCAATAATCGCCATTGAATTATATAGGGAATTTATGTACTGAACTAAAGTTAACTGATCTAGGTGGTAGTCCTAAGGTTAGGTTAGGTAATGGTTTCACCATATGGGAGGTAAGGGCTTGTCAAAGTATGGCCACTTAGACACTCCCACGGTGCCTTACAGAGGGTCTTCGACCAGTCTATTCGAAGTAGATCTATCTCTTACACAGAAAATAAATGAAACACAGGTGTGGCAAATAGACAAGGTCCAGTCTCAGAGTCTAAACTCCCGGGGTACAGGTGACCCTATTTGGGATCCGAGACCAACTGGCCGAGAGCAGAAAATGTCACTATTTATGTTTCTATATGGCATTTTCAGATCTCTCGGCCAATAGAAAAATCGAAAGATGTTTTAAGGCGGAACGATGCGCATCAGGGTGCGTATTAATTAGTCCACGACTAAGGCATCAGGATGATAATGGTAATAGTAATTGACGAATCTACAAAAACAAACATTTAAAAAATTCAGTAAAAACTACAGGAACAGTTTTAGCAGCAAAAAACAACAAGGATTTATTCCGCTGGTTCAAATAAACATTGTTTTCATGTCGATTGTCAATTTTTGTTATGCCTTACCAAGATCCAATATGGCGGTCGCGTCAGGTAATAACAATACTGCTAATTGTTTTATCTTTATGGATAAAAACTATTGATGAAGAGGATGGACATGCCATGACTTTCATATTCGAATAAAGGTCAAGCTAATAGTATCATGTAAAAACTGCAATTATACCCCTTTAATCTCTTAGAAAACAACAATTTATTCAACACACGAACTCATCGGTAATAGTTTAAAGAAATAATTCGAATGGAACGTGCCTCTGAACACCTTGAGTTTAGGCTGATTTTGATTTTATGTAATATCTATACTTAATCTGCGATAAACATTTCTACTTTACGGATGTTTTTACGGTTTTTATTTAACTGTTGGTGTGTGTATCCTGTTTTTACTTTATTTCTGTATATCCAGAATAAATGATTTTAATATATTCCACTTTGTATCACTTATACGATTGTTTATAGACATTTAGGCATTGTTTTTTAAATAATGCTTTACACTAAACAAATTATGGTTTTTAGATATTGCCCCGTATAGAGCATTGTTTGATGAAAAAAGGTGGGACATCCTCATCGAACAATTCCGACAAGAAAACTACCGATTATTCCAGCTTGCATCACAATCCGTATTTACTGTTGCTCTCCAAGCAGGGTTATCAGCACTTAAGACACCATATCCTTTTAAAACAATAAATATTAATAAGTTCTACCAGTAATAAAAAATTAATGTTTTATATAAAATACACAATTGATGGGATTAATTGTAATGTTGGTATGTTAGGACCATCATGTTAGTATATTCGACTATCATTATCTCTCCGAATTTTGACTTGCATTAATTATCGATGCCATTAAGTATATCTTTGTATTCTATTTTTTTTGACATGTGTCTCCCCTTATTCGCTTTATCATCATCATAATTGGCTCGACAATCCTTTGTGGATATTGGCTTGCTCGTAGAGTAGCCGTCAGACCCGTCAATTCCTAGCAACTTCCCTCCATCTTCTGGCCCTTAGAATCTTAAGGTCTTCTTCGACATCATCAATCTATCTTCGCGGTTGTGCTCTACTTCTTCTGAGTTTTTTAATGTCAATCTCTTCGTGTAGTGATTATCTGATATACTAGCGATCCAAGATGTGTGAATTCTTTTGTTCAACCAATGGTCACCATCTTCCTTGAACATTTCAATGTGTAGTTGATTATGTATGTTTAGTTGATTTTATGTGGTGCCGCCTTCTTCAATATAGTCTAAATTTTGAGGTTATCGCTGAAATGTTGTGCCCATCTATTAAGAACTGAATTACTTGTAAAGTCTAATTTCGTTGGAAAATTTATAGGAACAAGAGCGAATAAGATACTAGCAAATTGGCAACAATGTTAAAGTTACCAGTAGTCTACTGAATAGCAGCCTATACCCTGAATTCAATAGGATATTCAGGGCAGACATTTTGTAGTTCGTTAACACTCGGTGGTAGGCGGTTATAAATTTATTTCTTTATTAGTACACAAATCCACCTCTCAATTATCATTTTTACCGGTTACATCTGTTTGAAGTCCGAACTAGAGAATATAGATTCGCCTTGTTGCGAAATTTATTATTTAGTACAGCTTGCAGCTTATCCGTGCCATTGAGGTATACACTGAGTGCTAATAGAGAGACAGGCGGATACCGTTATTTCTTTTCGAAAGTAATATTCGTAATGAAATACTGCACCATTGTGAAAACTCACCCACAAACAACCATTAAAATCAGGAGGCTGGTAGTATTTCATGAGCGTAACGTCGGGTAACATCATGGCATCAAAACCAAGGTGCAGTACATCTGTTAATAAACAAAATAAAAAAAGGTGGTTATCTGTGAGAAAAAAGAAAATGATAAAATCGGTTTATGAGGGATTATAAACCGATATGCTTATAGAGGACGTCGCAGCATTGTGTGGAGATTTAACGAAAGTATCGGCTCGTACAGTTTTCCGAATAATTTAAGGTAACAAACCTATTCAAAAACCAATCCATAAAGGACGTGCAAAAATTGTATTGGACGATAGTACGAAAAGTATAATCCGAAGAAATGTCCGTGGATTTTATTTTAGGAACGAACTGCCCACGTTAAAGGCTATTCAACGAGAAGTTTATGCAGACGAAGATGATAATTTAAATAATATATCTATGAGAGTATTACAAAGAATGGACTTTTGATATGTGAAGAGAAATCGGAAAAGTTTGTTGATCGAGAGAGACGAATTAGTGATATGGCGGAGAAAATATTTGCAAAACATTCGTGATTTTAGACGACTTGGTAAAACAATTTATTATACGGACGAAACGTGGTTGAATGAGGGTCATACGAAATCCAAAGTATGGCAAGACTTGAATATTAAAAGTGCGCGACAAGCGTTCATTGAGAGATTTTCAACCGGCTTAAAAGCATCTTCGGGCAAAGGAAGATGCCTCATTATAACGCACATTGGAAGTGATTCAGGTTTTTTGCGAGGTGGTTTAAATGTGTTTACCCCAATAAAAACGGGCGATTATCATGAGGATATGAATTCGAATGTGTTTGAAAAGTGGTTTTCGTCGATACTGACTCTTGTAGATCCTGGTTCGGTAATTACAATGAACAATGCACCTTATTACATTCATCGTATGGAAAAAATACCGACTTCTGCATCTCGAAAGTCAGATATAATAGATTGGTTAAGAAGTAAGAATATAGATTTGGATGAATCCATGATAAGGTTCAATTACTTGGTATAGTGCGCGAACATAATAGTTCATACATCAGATTTGCAGTAGGTGAAATCGCACGTGAGCATGGCATCACCGTATTAAGAACTCCACCGTATCATTGTTAATTGAATTCCATCGAGCTGATATGGGCACAAATAAAAAATGAGGTAGCGCAAAAGAATACAACCTTTAAATTAAAAGATGTCTAATTATTATTAGAGTAAGCCATACAAAATAAAACCGTTTCCAACTGGCAGGCATGCATTAAACATACACAGAAAGAAGAAGATAAAATGTGGGGCGTAGACACGTGTGTTGATGTTCTTATCGAGCCCATTATCATTACTCCAGGAGAAGACAGTAGTGATAGTGAATTAACAACAGGATGTGATTCAGAATAAAAATATTTCTTTAAAATAATAACTAGTAGGTACAGTTCTAGTGATTTTTTGTTGCTATATTCGGAGACTTCCTGTGAGATTCTTCGTCCAACCTGGTTATAATTTTCTAAGTGGGTATGTACCTAATAACTTTATTATTATTATTATGGCAAGTTTGTTTTTCACAATTGCTGTTTACATTAGGTTGCTGGGTCTAGAATTATTATTTTCTGTAAAGCAGCAAAGTCGATAACAAAGCGACTAAGTTATTTCGAAACTATTACCTATTTGCAAATTCATTCACATATACTTAAAACTCTCATTTAATTGGAAATTCCCAGGTATTATATTTGTGTTCTTGGAAATTGATTAATTTGAATGCTACGTCGTGTTTAGTTTAGTTAATCTGATAATTCATCTATAGTTTGATGTCTTAACGGTGGAAAATTTTATAAAACTCAGTGGAAAATATTCTATTGGGGAAATGCAAGGCTATACAATAATTATTAGTTATTCTTACGTTTATTACTAAGAGTTTCGTTTATATTTTTAAGTTATTTTCTTTCTTGTTTGTTATGAATTTAAGATATTGATAAATGATTGGTTTTGTTTATTATAAATTATTACGAACCATAAGTATATTCGTAACATTTCATTATTATAAGGGAAGAAAGTTTTGAATTGAAAATATAATACAATTTAGCACCTCGACACCGTAAGGTACAAGAATACGGCTTAAGTAAGTAAGTATAATTTAGCATTTGAGATGTTATAAAATAAACATGTACATATTTCTTAAACTAAAAGTAATATAAATGAATGAAAATATTGTGTGTACATCTGGCTTACACAATTAATTGTTAAGACGTAATATTTTGAATATAATATTTTTACATAACATTTTAACAAAATATATTTAACATAAATTAACAATTTGACCGTTGACGCAAAAATATTTTTATGTGCAAGTTGCCTATTACTTCCCTTATTTTAAAAATATATACGCCTCCATTGAACTACACGCATCTCTCATCTCGAACCACTCGAGGGTCTATCGTTTCTAAGTGATAACCTGACAATCCTATTGAATTCCGAGTATAGATATCTAATTTTAAATTAAATAAAAGTTTTTATTTTTATTTAATTTTATTTATCAAAAAATTTCATTTTCTATAAAGTTTAAACAAAAATTATCGGTGTTGTTAATTAACTCCTGTGATGTATCTATGTAGTGATAACACTAATCGACTCGACTGAACATAACTTATTGTAAAATAATAAAAATTGTTAATAAAAGTAATTTACACATACAATTAAATAATTTTTTTTATGTACAAGTATGCTCATAAGTTTTAAAACTTATGAGCACAGTTTATCCCTGATAACTCAGTTATTGTAATCAGGAAAACATAGAGAATTCGTTTTTTAATCTATATAGAGAATGTTGTATTAAAAATCCACAACTTTGGTTTGACACCGTGTGAGAGTACCTCAATAATTTTAAAATGAGTAAGAGGTGTAAAACTTTTATGAACATATTTCTTTATATATCTAGCAGGTATTTTCTAATAACCTAACCTGTCTTTTGACTATTTTAAATTAAATACTTTGTACGTTTTTGTTCTATCTTGAAGTGGGTTGGTACCCTATTTTCAAAGAGATATATATATATATATATATATATATATATATATATATATATATATATATATACTCCATTCCAAGAATATACGACTGTTTTAAATTCGCTTTAAGGTGTCGACTTAAATGGTCCAATGTGCTGAATTGCACAATGGTAAATTCTCCCCATTTTTAAAATACTGTTATGACAGATATACACCTTAGATTTAAATATGAAGTTATGATCTAAATATAGAATTGATAGTTTATAGAATAGTTGTAGTTCAGATTTTGAAGTATACTCGTATAATTACTCTCATTGACTTTAGTATTGTAAACAAGTTAAGTGATTTAAACGAAGTGTAACAATACTTAAGTGATTAAATAGTTTAATTTATTTAGTCGAATATTTAATTAGTATTAAAAAAACAAAAAAAACTTACTCTTACTCTTATTCTCCTAATCACCATTACAAACAAAGACGCTACACTAAACTCTCTCTTAACGGACACGTCTCTTCACCGGACACCTCTATACGGACTGTTTTTAAAACTAAAATCAGTCGGCGATTTATGAAACTGTATGTAAATTTTCGTTACTTTTTAATATCTGTAATGACTCGGTTCTTTAACTATCAATAGCCGCCATGTTATACCCGTTACTTTCGGAACTTTTAAGAGTATATCCACTCAAAGCAAACAAAAAACTAACAAAGTGGAACACTAGATTCTTTTCCTGGTTTCTGAACCATCGTTCTGCCAATTTCTTTTTATTTATATTAAAAATATTATATTTCTTTTTATTACCGTTGCCTAATAAAGTAATAAAGATACCCGGCGCGCCTCTTTGGTGTTTACATTTCACCGAAATCCAACCCAAATGGCTGATGAACACATTTTAACTTCATAGAGGTCATTGTATTTATTTGTAGGGGCGTTTACGTAAATTTTTTTGTTATTTTCGGATTAATTTTTACAATAAATTTTGGGTCTATCTGAACATCTACTAACTGAAATAATTTTAGTTTATATGTAATAGTAACAGATGATCCTTTTTTTATGGAATAATATTTAGACCAATTTACTTTCATACTTCTACTTGTACAGTAAAATATTCGTTGTAGCAATAATTCCAAACAGTCGTATATTCGTGGAATAACCTATATATATATATATATATATATATATATATATATATATATATATATATATATATATATATATATATATATATATATATATATATAAGCAAAACGAGAATATCTACAATTACAATAAAAATAAAGTTTTCAACTAACACCTAGTTCGAAGCAAGTACTTACTAATCTACTCAGAATTACTGTTATCACTGGTATCACTGGTATCACTCATATCTTCTAAATTTATAGTTAATTTGGTTAATGCTGGTAAATATTTAACATAGTCATTTTCTACTGCGATTACGTGTTTGATTACATTTTTCCAGTTGGTTGCTGTGATCTTTGTGACTTCTCTTCTAATTAACTGAAGAACAGTAGACAAAAATTTAGGTGCCACGTTTTTTCTTCTTATAGTTCCTTCAAGTTGAGTCCATATTAACTCTATTGAGTTAAATGTACAAGAATATGGAGGAAGTCTAAGCACGGTATGCCTATTACTGCGAGTAGAGTGATCAACAACAGATTTCTTCTGGTACTGTCTACTATAAACAACCTCAACAATTGTCTTTTACTATATGATGCCTCAAAATACAAATCTCCCTCAAATAAAAATTCTTGAATTTGTAATTTGTTTCAAGTAATATTTGGAATTTTCTTATTATCTAGAATTATATGATGCGTTGTCGATGAGAATCACACTATATTTAGGTAATCTTGGAAGCAGAGATTTTTCAAACCATAATTCAAAAATTAAACTTTCCATATCCTCATTTTTGATTGTCAGTTATCTATCTGATATATTTGTTTCTTAAAGAAATAATTATTCTAGTACTCTCGATTAGTGTTTGGCACTTGTCTATAGTTTTTTCTTAAAATTATGGGTTTTAAGAAATCATCAAAGTGTTGTTGCTGAACATGAGAGAATGTCCTTTCGAACCAGTTCACTTCGAAGCCTTTCAATAGTTGGAAACATATTAGCCGCATCCATTTTGTATATTGTTCTGATTATTAGGTTCCTTTATGTATGGTTCTATTTGTCTTAATTTGCCACAATGCTTTCCCCTCTGTCTAGAAGAAGATGTTTCTCCTACAATCTTGTAGCAGGTCCCTTGGGGTACTCTGATGTAAAAAAACATGTTTCTGCAATTGCATCTGATTTAGACAATTTAGAACACAATCCTTCATAAACATGTTTCAGCATATGTTTATGTCGCTTGCATTTTAATACACAGCTTTGTAAATATTCCAATTGATCAGAGGATTCCACTGGCTCTTCAGCTGCATTATTATTATCACATCACGAATGCCACATTTTAAAAGTATCTTCGTAAAATTCAAGTTTCACCACTTTTCACCGCTCAGTTCCACAACTCCGCCAACTGCAGTTCACTACTTAAGTTTAACTGAACGGTAGTAGTTATTTATAGTTATACTAAAAATATTTCGCAAAAAAATCGGCAAATATTGTTATATCTTACCCGAAGGATGCATAAGTCTGCCGATAAAAGATAACGTATTATGATTTGTCATAATGCTATGTATTGCGATGTATTGATTGGATCTTGCTCTACATAGACTGATTCACAATAGTTCAATGAAAACTTGAACTGGGTGACTGCCCATATTTTCAAACATAATACTAGGCATATCTGAATGTAAATATCGATGAGAATGTTAAAACTTTGTATTATTATACATATCAGTCATTGATAATTTTGCAGTTAATAACTACTCCTGGGAGAGTACTTTTATTTCAGTTTTTATTGCCTGTTTTTATTTTAGATAAATATATTTTTACACATTCTCACCGAAATACGAGGCGACTATACCATTTACAATTTCACCGTTAATATCACTATAATTTTTTATTCTCGGCTTAAATTATTGACGACTACTGTTTAGGAATTTGTAGTATTTTCTTGTTTCATTTTTATCAAATAAACTGTTTTCTGTTCATACTCCCTCTTTTTAAGTCGATTGATAAGGTTTTCTCCTATTCTGAGACGTGTATACTCATCTTTTTTTTCTGCGTGTGCAACCTGCTTTAAGAGGTATTTGATATACTCCGTTTTTGCTGTTTGTTGTCATCTGGCACTCGTTATCAAACCACTGATCCTTTTTTCTACCCTTTTATTACGCAATATTTCAACCGAAATACAATATCTCGTGTTTTTATCCATAACTGCTTAATATTTTCTCCTACGTTTTCTAACCTTATTTTATCTTCTATTTGCTCTCTATATACATTCGCTATGTCCGGATTTTTTAGTTTTTGAATATCTATTTTTTCCTTTTTCCGATCTCCTTTTTTTATTGTATATTCTTGCTTTAAACTGCCACACAACCAAATAGTAATCACTATCTACATTTGCCTCTCTGAAAAGGTTGTAGTGGTGTCTTGCATCAATGACTACATCATATGTTTGGTTAATCGTTTCATAATCAATAGTTTTCCAAGTTCCCTTATGTATGTCTTTGTTTCGCCTATTACCATATTCCTAATCATAGAAAAGTTTATGAGTCTCAGTCCGTTTTCATTTGAGTCTGCTTGTAGGTTCTCTTTACCGATGGTGGGAGAAGAGATATTCTCTCTTCCAACTTTGGCATTAAAGTATCCTTCTAATATGTTATTATTATTTTTTGGGTACTTATCATACTCCTGGTTCAGCGCCTTATAGAACATATGTTTTTCATGGTCCTCTTTCTCTTCGGTTGTTGCGTGAATACGTATAATGCTAACATTAGCAAACTCTCCTTTATTTTTTTATCTGACATATTCTGTGATTAATATGATGAATAATGAAGTCAATTAGACCCTTTTTAATCCTTCTGCTCAAAGTAAATCCTGTACCAAACTCCTGACGGGCAGGGTATCCGCTGTAGTAGTTCTTTTTTTCCAGTATTGCTGAGCCAGTTCATCTTATCTCCTGTAAAATAATGATATCGGCGTTGGCTTTATACATTTCTTGTATAAGTAGAGCTGTAGATCCAGGTTGATAAAGGCTCCTTACATTCCACGTGCAAATTTTCAAATCATTGTCCTTATTTGGTTTGTAAGTTCGTGGTAAGTAAAACAATCCGACTTCTTTCTTTATAGCTTTGTTATGAAACATGGATTTTTTTACATGGTTGGAAGTTAGCCCAACGCCAAATCTTATTATCTTTTTGGTTAAGGTTTGTGGCCCATTATTTTGAGATTTTTAAACTACTAATGCACTTTAAAAAATATCTTTTCTTTGATCAGTATAATTGCTTCGCTCTCTCTCCCTCTTATTTTGAGTTTTGTTAACCCTTACATGTAGGGAAGCAGCAACTGAATATCTTTGGTTTTTATTATAATTTGCTTTTGCGAAGAATATTGACACTTGAATATCTTGAATAAGCATGGCGATATTTATTGTTCTTTACAGTACATTTGAAGTATTTTCGCCATTAATTGTATGACTGAATACAAAACTCCGTTGAATAAGGTCTTTCGGTTTGCTCTTTTAAGAGGTTACATGACTATTATTTCGATTTGTGAACTTCACAATTTCGAATTTGGTTGATTTTTTGATGAACTCGATATTTAACTTTTAAACAAAGTAAAGATATATTTAGTTACATCTTCTGGTTACTAGATTAGGTAATAAACACGAGTTAAAAAATAAGATAATGGTAATGTACTTCATTTGCATGTATTTTTTTAATATATAACTTTTAATAATTGTACATGTTAATGAGTTCATTTAAAATGTATGTATTTAAATACAAACTTTAATTCTAAAACTTTTGATTATATTTTCCTTAACGCTTAGCAATCAGTGTTATTCAGAAACTGGAGGAAATAGGAATCCAACTTGTCCCGTATGTCAGCCATATCTTAACGAACTCGCTGACTCTCTACCATTTGCTCATTGCTCACAAAGTCGTCTATATTGCCATATTAGCGGATTACCCATGAACGAAAACAATCAACCTATGATGTTACCTAATGGACACATATATGGAGAACAGGTAAGTAAAGCTAAAATATTGACATACGATGGTACAAACTAACTTGTTAAAATAATTTGTAGTCTAATAGTTTATTTATAATCATGTCTTTGGATAAATCGTTAGACACAATTTCCCCTGGCAGTGAATTCAAACTAGTACCTATTTAAGATAATTATAAATTAGTACGTGGAAAAATATTTATTTTAATGTATAATATTAATGAGGATACGTTTGACAAGGGGATAAATAGGAATGCGCGAACCTAATTTTAGCTTGCCAGTTTTCTATGGAAATAATACGATTATCTTTTAAACAGAAACATACAATATACAGATCATTCTTAAAAAAGTACCTTATAGATGAATTTCATGGAATAAAGGTGTATAGTATAAAGAAAGCTTGTAAAATCTGATTAGGTATTGAAAAATCTATCCTAAATTTGATAAAAAAACAATAGCCTTCCGCCAACAATCTTCGTATGACTCTTAAAAGAATATCTGAAAATGAGCAAGCTTATTTACTAACACAGGAACTGGAAAAGATGTATTTTTCGGTCCAAATCTTTTTCTGAAGTGCTAGAGAGTGACTTAGATGCAAATTATGTTTATGAGTGGACAAATAATTTAATTTAAATCCCAATAATTTAGCATCGAATGATAAAGATAAGCAAAAAGGGTCATGGATCTAAAGTGTGAAATAAATTCTATATTTAAAAACCTCTCCATTAAAAGGCCCTCATATAGTTGCTCTCTTGTATTAAACGCAATATTTTGTTGTAAAATGCGTCTGCCCAATATGTCCCATATATGCTCAATTGGGTTTAAATCTGGCGATTGTGCAGGCCATGGTAAAACCTCAATTTCATTATATTCGATTAATGTTCGCAGGACCCTATGCGGACGCGCATTGTCGTGCATTGATTAAAATTGGGGACCAGCTTGTTGTGCAAAAGGGTACGACAATAGGTTGAAGAATAATATCGCGGTAGTCTGTTGCATTTAAAAACCGTTCCAGACAAACGAGATTAGTTCTTCCACCAAGAGTGACGCCACCCCATACCAATATACTGCCGCCTTGCTGTCTATGAATCTCTTATACATCAGTCAAATGTTTACTGGAAATAACGATTGAAAATTAAATAAAACACTAAATAGCTTTTTAAAATTCTTTATTATTTGTTAGAAATCTGGGAAATCAAAGGAGGTGGAGGCCTTATTGGTGCAATGGCGAAGAAAAAACCCCTCTAAACCTCACCTAGGACCCAGTACATCTCAATTAAAAATATAACTTTAATAAAAAATTTTATAAATAACATCATTACATGGTTTTAAAATTCAGACCTAATCTTAGTGTGCATTACTTTCTTGTAAATAAGATTGTAAAATTACAATAAAAATTTAGTTCATTACACAAAACAAAAATAAATGTGACCTATAAAAATTGTTATTCAAATTTAATACTCAGTTCCAATTTGGTTATAGTTTTGTCATCTAATTCGTCCATGAAATTTATTAAGTTTTCCCTCTGAAGACTTTGTTTGGCTTTTTCCTGGATCACATTTGTCTTTTCTACCTTCCCTCTTACAAATCCATTAATTTCCTATTGATGCCTTGATATGGTAATTGAAGTTTCTTCCAAATAGCTTGCAACATTATCTAAAACAGAGTTAGTATCCATGCGCTCCTCATACATTCTTACCAAGTGCGCATATACATATTACACAAGGTATTCCATACCACATTCTTACATTCATTTTCACATACTTGTCTTATACTTATATTCTATTATTTATTTGGACCTCTAAAGAACTTTATCTAAAATTACCCATATACCTAAACATTCTTCCTAACCTTTATTTTGTTTCTTATCGATTCTATCATTTTGTGAGCTTTTATGAACCTTTCTTAATAATTGTTCTTCGGTTCGTATTCGGTTGTTTAATGTCTTAAACTCCTCTTTCACATTTTTATGTCCACTAGAATCCATAGCATTATGTCCATCTATTGTGTCCAATAACTTTCTGTTTAACTATTTAACTAGAATATTCTATTTAACCTAGAAATTTACAATTTCTTCAAAATTTATAGTTTAGAGATAATTCAAGAAAAATGGTAATTGAAGTAGGAAATATAAGTGTATATAAATACATAAAATATAAACTTGACTGACAAAATTAAAAAAAGTAAGATTAAGCAACGCGTATCTATAAGAAGAAAGAATACTAAGTTATAAAAAAGAAACCAACATTTGTATATCTTCATCATAACTTCATAGTCTAGGTGCCAGACGACATACTGTATCACTCATACATAACAGGCTACAATTTTCAGGATAGCTTCATAAGACCTCGACCCCCAAATATCTCTTGGGATACTTTCTGTGCGGGGTGCTTTTTCTCTCCAGCTTATCCAAAAGTGGTGATTTTGAAGTGATGTATCAAATTTATTAATAATGTATTGCTGTTTAATGAATACAAAAGTCGACTTCATGAAATATCCGAAAAAAATCTTCTCCGACAAAAATTTTAGTTTCATGAGGGAGTCCACCAAACTAAACATGCCAAAAAAAAACAACTTATAAAAATTTAGTAATAACAAGCTGTTTTTTTCTGTATCGTTCAAAAATAACGTGTAAAATACTATTTTTACATTGTCCGGCAAAATGTAAGTACTAGCCGATTTTTCCGTCCGACAGTGAAAATCGGCTTTTCCACGAGTCTGTGGAAATTTATTAATAACGTATTTCTTTTATGATTTTTAGTTTTTAAATGAAGGGTACAACTTAATAAATGAATTGTCCGACAAAAAATGGGGCCTTTTACGTAAAAATTAAAAAAACATACAATCGAGATTATTTTGTTGTAGAATGTGTAAACATTAAAATTGTAGATACATCCTATTTATAAATAACAAGCTGATTTTTTCAAAGCTGATTTATAAAATCTCGTTGTATACAAATGTAGAATTGACGGACAAGAATCTTTTTCCGATTTTTAAATCAGACACGTTACGTCGTACCCTTCGCTGAAATTGTGTATATAAATGTTTCTATAAAACATCGGGAATCATAAATATTACGAACTGTTTTGTTCGCAGAGAAAAATGGTCTAATAACACATTCCTTGAGAACTAGTATTATCTCAAAATTAATGGATTTCTTAAATTTACGTTCAGGAGATGACATCACTAAAGATATACGAAAATCATCAATATTAAAATCTACAAAAAATCTAGATGATTTGTTATATATAATCAACCAAAGTACTAATCCTTTCTCACGTGACTTTTCTGAAGATCATTTATACAACATCTCTTCTGTGGACAAACTGTCATTCGTTGAAAGTATAGGCAATGAACATGAAAAACGTCTTAATTTTATTTTAGAAACTTTACAAGCATCAGAAAGATTTGGTAAAGCAATTAAAAAAATACGAGTTAAAAGATGAGAAAAGTCAAAATTAATGAGAAAGTACAAGAAATTGTAAGAAAAATCATCAAATTATTCTTTGACCTCTGTTCCATTTTCTTTATGTCATGTAAATGGCACAATTTGCAAAACTCTGAAATCTGCTATTCTAAAGGAATTGCATAATCACCAAAATACAGTTATTGATCCTCCAGTGCCTGACATTACGGACTACCGAGTGACAGTTCGTTGTACCGATTCTGACATACCTATAATTATGTTATCCAATATGTAATTTTTAAAATCTAATGTGGAAGTAATTATAGATATGTCAACCAACAAAAAAAGGAATATTTTAATATCAATGATATTTGATGGATTCGACCGTTATATATATATATATATATATATATATATATATATATATATATATATATATATAGTTTCTTGAACTCCTAAGTGGAGTATAGAGCTTCAGTGAAAACGCGCCATCGGGTTCTATTTTGCGCTAAGGCCTTCACCTTATTCCAAGACTTTCCTTGTTTTCTTATCTCGTCCATGATGGATCTTCTCCAAGTTTGTACTGGGCGACCTTTTTTTCGTTTTCCTTGGGGATTCCACTCTAGGGCAGTCTTTGCAATACTGGAGTTATTTTTTCGGAGTGTGTGACCGATCCAACCCACTTTCTGGACTTTATTTCATTTACTACCCTCTTTTGTTTGGTCAGGTGTAGTAAATCTTCGTTTCTGATGATGTTAGGCCAGAAAATACGAACAATTCTTCGTAGACATTTATTAACAAAGACCTGCAGTTTGTCTGTAAGGGTTTTTGTCGCTTTCCAGGTTTCACATCCGTAAAGTAGTACAGACATGACATTTGACTGGAATATGCGGATCTTTGTCCTCGTAGTGTAGTCTCCAGACCTCCAAACAGGGTTGAGCATGCTGAAAGCTTGTTGCGCTTTTCGTATCCTCATACGAATATCGTCTTCTGTACCTCCGCTTTCTGTTATGACACTTCCACGATACGTAAAGTTTTCCACATTTTCAATCTGCATGTTATTAATGGTGAATAGCGTGTTGTTTCTTGCATTTATTCTCATGGATTTGGTTTTACCAATATTGATTTTCAAACCTATTTTATTGGCTTCAGTGGAAAGTGTTTCCAATTGGTCAGCCACATCTTGGAACCTTTGTCCTAACAGGCAGATATCGTCGGCGTATTCTAGATCGCTTAGGCGTGTGGTTAACGTCCATTGTATCCCTCTTGTGTCAGAGTCTAGTTTGGAGAGAACATAGTCTAGAGCTATGTTAAAAAGAAACGGAGAAAGCACGCATCCCTGTCTGACTCCAGTAAGTACGTCAAATTCGTCAGTGTTGATCCCATTGTGTGTCACGCTGCATTTCGCTTCAGTGTACAGTAACTTTATAATGGAAATTATTTTATGCGGGATGTTTCTTAGCTCTAAAATTTTCCATATCGCATCATGTGATAAGCTGTCAAAAGCACGCTCGAAATCAACAAAAACCATGTATATGGGTGTGTTCCATTCAACCGATTGTTCCATTATTAGCCTCACAGTATTAATGTGGTCTATGCAGGAGGATTCTGGT